AATCCCAGCACTTTGCGAGGCCGAGGCAGGTGGATCACAAGGTCAAGAGATAGAGACCATCCTGGTTAACATGGTGAAACCCCGTCTCTATTAAAAATACAAAAAAATTAGCTGGGCATGGTGGCGCGTGCCTGTAATCCTGGCTACTCAGGAGGCTGAGGCAGGAGAGTTGCTTGAACCCAGGAGCCGAGATCGTGCCATTGCACTCCAGCCTGGGTAACAAGAACGAAACTCCGTCTCAAAAAAAAAAAAAAAAAAAAAATTATGATCCAGAAATTTCATAATTTGCCTAAGGTTATCATCCTAAGTAAAATAATAAAGATTTTGAGGTTAAAAAGTGAGACAGTAAAATCTCAAAACCAAGTATAAGTGTTTTGGGTTCTATTTTGGGTTATCTCTTCTCATGAGAAATTGAGAGCTGACAATTTGGTTAACCCAGGCCAGAAAGGAAGAACACACTAAGTCCTCGGTTCCCATTTCTCACTGCCTTCATTCCGAATCCTTGATTATAGAGGATAGAAACCTTTACAGAAGCTCTTGGGAATGATTTTGAGAGGTAGCAGAGAAAGAGTGAGCTATGTTCGCATCAATTTGAAGACTATCCAGGGTCCCAAAGAGTATATACATTTTATCACCAGCAACCTTGAGAAATGACAGTACCTAGGGCAAAAACAATACTTGCAACTCCTTTTTTTTTTCTTTTGAGACGGAGTTTCGCTCTTGTTATCCAGGCTAGAGTGCAATGGCGCGATCTCGGCTCACCGCAATCTCCGCCTCCTGGGTTCAGGCAATTCTCCTGCCTCAGCCTCCCGAGTAGCTGGGACTACAGGCATGCGCCACGATGCCCAGCTAATTTTTTGTATCTTTAGTAGAGACAGGGTTTCACCATGTTGACCAGGATGGTCTCGATCTCTTGACCTCGTGATCCACCCGCCTCGGCCTCCCAAAGTGCTAGGATTACAGGCTTGAGCCACCGCGCCCGGCCCCTCCTTTTTTTTTTTTTTTTTTGAGACGGAGTCTCGCTCTGTAGCCTAGGCTGGAGTGCAATGGTGTAATCTTGGCTCCCTGCAACCTCCACCTCCCGGGTTCAAGTGATTCTCCTGCCTCAGCCTCCCAAGTAGAGGGGACTACAGGCGTGTGCCACCACACCGGGCAAATTTTTTGTATTTTTAGTAGAGACGGGGTTTCACCACGTTAGCCAGGCTGGTCTCAATCTCCTGACCTTGTGATCCGCTGGCCTTAGCCTCCCAAAGTGCTGGGATTAGCCCCGCTCTAATCCATATTTTCTAAATGTTTATTCATATCACCATGAGAGAAAACTTTCATTTCCTTTATCTTTGAAGACAAGGTACTTTATTGAGCTCATTCCTGATCCAATGTCTAATTTACAAACGGATGTTAGAGTGTAGGGAAGTCTTACTGCTTTCATGTTTTTCTCAGTATCTCTTATCATTCTGACTTTCATGAGCCCAAGCTTTTCAAGTAGCTTTCATTCTCACTTTTTAAAAACACCTGCCATTTAAATTTTCAAGTAATAACAACTTTTAGACTACAAATTTAAGTTTACTTTTAAGTTTGCTAATATTAATCTACTACTTTTGAATATAAGTTCCATTATTATACTGTATATAAGTTATTGAAAATAACAAAATCTCCAATTCTGTTTTTTCCTAGATGTACTCTAATTCCAATGTGGATTTGTTCTAGAATTGGACACCCCCCGTTATAGAGACCAGCATATCTACAAAAAAAAAATTTTTTTTTAATTAGCTGGGTGTGGTGGCATGCATCGTGGTTCCAGCTACTTAGGGGGCTGAGGTGGGAGGGTTACTTAAGCCTAGGAGTTAGAGGCTGCAGTGAGCTATGATCATGCCACTGTACTCCAGCCTTGGTGAGAGAGCAAGACCTTGTCTCAAAAATGAATAAACATTTACAAATAAATATGCATGAATGACTTTTCAGGCATCAGAAAGGTACTTTTCCTGTTTCTAAGTTAGTGGTCTCTCCGATTCCTGTGTTCTCCGAACACCAGCCTCTGCATTTCAACTTCTAACATCAGATGACACTGCATTCCCATTCCATTTCTTCTCTTGTGGGAAAACTAGAAAATCAGTTCACTGAAAGTAGGTTCTGTTAGCACTGCTGGTTTATCTGGTAGGGTTTCCTCATGGTTGGCCTGTCAAACACTGTTGATTACTTTATTACAGGCCAGATATGATAACTGCCCTCAGCTGCTACAGAAAATGGCATAGAAGTAATTATTTGTTAAAGGTTTCACTGTCGTAGCAACTAGGACTTTTGAGAGTCCTTTGTAAGTCTACCCTTTTCTGAAAACAAGTGTTTTTCTGATTGGAGCTCAGAAAACACACACAAATCCACAGGGCATATTGCAGCCGTATTTAAGCAGTACCCTCTCCAAAAGCTCACACAAGAAAGTATTTGTGCCCATGTTCAAAACACCCTCCCCAACTCCATCCAGTTCCACAGATGGCAACTGCTCGCTTCTATTTTACCTTGAATTTGGCCTACTTGTCTTACGTTCCTCTGGGTCAACCTGAAAGTAATGAAGGCTTCTGCACAGGACACAGTGATTTTCATGAAGCCTTTCTGACAGAATTTGGTTAACAGTGCTGATTTTCCGCACAGGTTACAACTGCTTCTGATAATGCCCCATTTTATCTCCTGAGGTATTTATACAAAATAACCCCCAGGTGCAAGAAAAGTCAGTAAAAAGCACAGCCACAATACCCATAGTTATGGTATGGCGCTAAATTTTTATGAACCCAAGACAAAGTTTTCTTTTTCTTTTTTTTGAAATGGAGTTTAGCTCTTGTCCAGGCTGGAGTGCAGTGGCACCATCATGGCTCACAGCAACCTCTGCCTCCCAGGTTCAAGCGATTCTCATTCCTCAGCCTCCCAAGTAGCTGGGATTACAGGCACCCACCACCATGCCCAGCTAATTTTGTATTTTTAGTAGAGATGGGTTTTCACTATGTTGGTGAGGCTAGTCTCAAACTCCCGACTTCAAGTGATCCACCCACCTCGGCCTCTCAAAAGTGCTAGGATTACAGGCATGAGTGACCGTGCCTGGCTCAAAGCTTTCTTCATTATACTGATTTCACCTGTTAACATTATTATACTTCCACCCTATCTTCTTATCAGGGCAAGGGGAAAAACCTGCTGCAAAGTCAATGTAAATAGAAAATTAGTTTTTATCAAGCTAGGGACTAACTGACTTTGGTAATTAGAATCAGGGACGATCTTTTAAAAATCACATACTCTTACTTTTTAAGTTTTGGGTCAGGGGATGCTTTTAAAAAAATTGCTAGTTCTACTACCATTGGGTTCTAGTGTTACTATAGAAATCAAATATCCATTGCCCTAGCAAATAAAAGTAATAATGAGGTCTGGGCATGGTGGCTCACACCTGTAATCCCAGCACTTTGGAAGGCCAAGGTAGGCAGGTCACCTGAAGTCAGGAGTCTGAGACCAACCTGGCCAACATGGTGAAACCCCTTCTCTACTAAACATGCAAAAATTAGCCGGGCATGGTGGTGCATGCCTGTAGTCCCAGCTACTCGGAAGGCTGAGTCTGGAGAATCGCTTGAACCTGGGAGGCAGAGGTTGCAGTGAGCCGAGATCCCACCAGTGCACTCCAGCTTCAGTGACAGAATGAGACTCTGTCTCAAAAATAAAGAAAGAATTAGACCCAAACCAATGATTATTCCATAGGAAAACCAGGTGGTAAGAGAACACCTCTCACAACAGAATCTTTATCTGTGAAATAAGGATTCAACCCACAAAAGTGTCTGTTGAAAATTTTCCTCTCTTGGTCCAGGCAGGTTCTCTAAACTCCCAATCCCAAAGCAGTTAATTTTTTTCCTGTTTTCCGTAAAATGGATGGCCTTAAAACTCTTTTGTTCTCTGGTGTAGCTTTTCAGAAGGAAATAAGTTTCTTATCAAGAATGAATCTAGCTTCCCCAATTCAAAGACAGCCATCTTCTCTATATTGCTCCATATCACAATAACTTTAAGTATCTTCCTTTTCTAAATTAAATGCTGTTCTCTTCAACTTAAGGGCCAGACACTAAGGGCTATTCCTTTAGAGGCTTTTGGGCCTCCATAGATCACAAAGGTGGTGCCCTGCCCCAGTTCTTTCTGGACATTTAAAAAGGCATCCACTTTCTTGCCCTCAGGATGACATTCTGGGAACAATGAACATAAATAGGACTGTTAAATAAGCTTCCTTGACGCCTATTCAGTGCAGCTTTCAACTCTTCTACCCTGCCTTGTTCTTTAGATGGTGCTGTAGTCTAGAGGGTAAGCTCTTCACACAACCATTCCCAAGCCCTCATGTCCCTGCCACTCTTCCTCCCTCACCTTTTAAGTGTGATAGGGCCTTGATGTGAATACCTCACTTCACCTTTTGTCTCAAGTCCATCTGCTTCCTTCCACAGCAGCAAAGGTAAGCCAGGGCCATTGAGACGTGGCCTACACCACTCACACCTTCTGGGGTGTCCCGTCTTCCACCTGTCAACTGAATACCCCTTTCTTAAAGATTTCTCCCTCAGAAGTCCCGTCTCATTCTGAAAGGGGATGAACCAGCTATCCTAAGAGCCCTTTGTCTGAAGCTTCTACACCTCACACATTCTCATCCACAAAGCGTCCATCCCACATAGCAGGAGGTCGGCTCGGCACAGGGCGGGGAAGACTAGGTTTCTGCATCTGGTAAAAGGATGAGTTATGTCTCAGGTTCTTCCAGGATCCCAAATTCTAGAATTCTACGACCAAACCTGTGGGGGTGGAAAGGGCGAACCCCAAGGCTACCCTCCACTCCGCACGCCCGCAGGCAGTCGGAACGAGCCCCCTCCAGCCCCGGCTCTGAGGGTCCACGCCTCCGACCTCCGGCGCCGGGCCGCAGAGGAGGCCCTGCCGGCTCCGGCTCCCAGCCGCGCCATGCCCTCCTTCGCCCTCAACCGCCGCCTCCGGCCGTCTCTCACCTGGCACGCTGGCATCGCCCACAGCGTGCCGCACTGGTGACCACGGGTCCAAAGTGGTCTCGGCGGCCACGTATCTGCCTTGAAGGAGGCTCGCGGGGATGCGCGGGCCCCGGAGTCAAGCCCGCCGCCACCGAGAACGCGCAGCCTGGTTTCTAAGGAACGGTGGGCTCTGGAAAAGGAGGGGCGGGACGGCAGGAGGACTGCGCCTGCTCTGTAACGGGGGTGGGCCTGCTCTGGGAAGGGCCGTGGCCGGGAACTGCGCTTGCTGGCTCGTTGGGGGCGGGGCTTAGGTAGCCTAACTGGGAGGCTTAGGTTGTTCATTTCCGGCCGCGAAGGCGGCGGAGCCCGCGGTTTCCCAAGCTTGGCTTCTCTCCGGTCCTGCGACCGGCGTCAAGAACCAGGTCTTAGGAGTTGTGGTTAGCCTTGGCTGTCCTGGAGTGAAAGACGGTTTTTCGTGTTGGATAACGTCATTTCTGCAGAAGGCCAGTTTTTTTGAACTCGTCAGACATCCTAGCTCTCTGACTCCCAGTGACTCGTTTTTCCGGTTTCTCAGGTGCCTGTCTGGGCTCTTCTTCCTCTGGATGTTTTTGGTTGTTCCTTAAATATCAGTGTTCTTTCTTCAATACTGTGACCTCAGTCTCCTTGGCCTCTTTACTGAAGCCTATGCCCCCCCACATAGTGAATAGCAGACTGTCCGGTAAAGTAAGGAAATTGGTAGACCTTAGTACAAAACTGGCTGTGTGGGAAATGTGGTTGGGGTTTGTATCTGCATGTGGAGCCCCCGTCCCTTCTTGTCTGACCCTCCTGCTAAGTATCTAGATCCCCACTCAGCTGGCATTAGGATGGTCTCCCAGCCATCATTTCAGAGCAGCCTGTGATGACAGTATGTCAGCTGATCTAACTAAGCATGAGGCAGTTCCTACTGATATATGCTAACTAGCAGCAGAGCTATCCCTGCTTTGAGTGGAGGAGACAGGACTTCTACCACCTCTGTGAGCATGGAAGGCTCCCAGAGTCATGAGAAGTTGTAACCTCTAAACCCCCCCTCTTTTGATGGGGTTTTTTATCTCCTCCTTTACTGGATCCTCAAGAGCCAGGCCGAAGGGAGGCAGAGTCGAACTGCACCTGTGTTTGATCTGTTTCTTAGTCATTGTTCAGAGTTCCACTCTTCTTGAATAGGATTTCTCAACAGTGGCACTATTGACATTTTGGATCTGATCATTCTTTGTTGGGCAGGGGTGGGGGGGAGCAGTCTGCATTGTAGGATGTTTGGCAGCATCCCTGGCTCTACCCACTAGATGCCAGTAGCACCCCAAGCCCAGCTGGGACTACCAAAAATATCTCCAGACATTGCCAAATGTCTCCGTGGGAGCAAAATCACTCTCAGTTGAGAACCACTAGTCTAGAGGAAAATGAGCCTACTCTGGCTTTATTGATATAGAACCAGGACTTTAGTGCTTAATCTAAAACCCACATCTTTCCCTCTATGCTATATCTTCCCTAAGAGCATTCTATAGAGTAATAGTCTTGTAAATTTCTACTGAGTGACACAGTCTGTAGTAATGTTAAGTTTGGAAAGTGCAGGGTTAAGCAACACATTTCAACACAGGATTTTGAGCTTTTAATTAGCTGGTGGCAATCACTGTGAACATCCATAAGACAGTTTTCCTAACTTACTAGCTCAAAGAAGAACCCTTTTCCTTTGGCAAACCTCCCAATTCCAGTGACTTTTAGCCACTGCCTTTCTCTTCTGTTCTGTGTTATTTTGTGGTACCATTATCCATCCTGTCAGTCCCAACCAAAGTCTACATTTGCCTTGTCTCTTGCTTTTATTTCCCTCACAGTTACTCATCTTGTACCTCCAATTCTCTCCTAAATATTTCTCAAAGCCCTCCTTGCAGTCTCCTACCTGGGTTCTTTTACTCCAGTCTGTCTCCAGTACCACCTCCGGGTGGACACCAGCATGATCTACTGTATACCTCCTCTGCATTAAACCCTGGTGCCTTGGGGGCAGAGGAGGCAGGAGTGGGCCAGTCATACCAGTGGGCATCCTTTCTCCATAAGGATGCTCATGTGTACTGTGTGTGTCCCTGTGTGCCAAGCACTGCTGTATATCTGTTATAATCCCCTACCTCCACAGGGCAGAAGGATTTACAGTGTTTTAAGGATGGGGAAACAGTCTCGGAGAGAGGTAGTAAACAGGGCTGTCTGTGTGAGGATTTTGAACACAAGCTCTTGTTCCTCACACAAGAGGCAGGAAGCTAATTTCAGTACCCGTCAGGCTGAGCACCGTGGCTCACGCCTGTAATCCCAGTATTTTGGGAGTACAAGGCAGGAGGATTGCTTGAGCCCAGGAATTTGGGACCAGCCTAGCCAACATGGGGAAAATTCTCTACAAAAAATACAAAAATTAGCCAGGCATGGTGACACACACCTATAGTCCTAGCTACTCAGGAGGCTGAGGTGGGAGGATCACTTGAGCCTGGGAAGTTGAGGTAGCAGTGAGCCATAATCATGCCACCGCACTCCAGCCTGGGAAACAAAGCAAGACTTTGTCTCATAAAATACCCCAAAAACAAGCCCACAAAAGAGGTACCTCCAGAAAACTTTGTGCAGTATTTGAGGTGAGCATATTTGGAATGTATTATTATTTTTTTAATACAGGGCCTTGCTCTGTCACCCAGGCTGGAGTGCAGTGGCATGATCATGGCTCACTGCAACCTGAAATCTCCCAGGCTCAAGCAATCCTCCAACCTCAGCCTCCTAAGGAGGTAGGGCCACAGGCACACACCAACATGCCCAGCTAAATTTTTTGACTTTTTTTTTTTTTTTTTTTTTTTGAGACAGAGTTTTGCTCGTTACCCAGGCTGGAGTGTAATGGCGCAATCTTGGCTCTCCGCAACCTCCGCCTCCTGAGTTCAAGCAATTCTCCTGCCTCAGCCTCCCGAATAGCTGAGACTATAGGTGTGCACCACCATGCCCAGCTAATTTTTGTATTTTTAGTAGAGATGGGGTTTCACCATGTTGACCAGGATGATCTCAATCTCTTGACCTCATGATCCACCCGCCTTGGCCTCCCAAAGTACTGGGATTATAGATGTAAGCCACTGCATCCTGCCCAATTTTTTGACTTTTTGTAGAGACAGGTGTAGGGGGGAGACCCCATAAGCACCAAGGCAGGAGCAAAAGGGACTACAGGCGCGCGCCACCATGCCCAGTTAATTTTTGTACTTTTAGTAGAGACGGGGTTTCACCATGTTGACCAGGATGGTCTTGATCTCCTGACCTCATGATCCACCCGCCTCAGCCTCCCAAAGTGCTGGGATTACAGGCATGAGCCACCGCGCCCGGCATTATTAGTTATTCATACGTGATCTTAGTTATTCGTAGGTGATCTTAATTCTTTTTATTAATGCCTCTCAGGTCGGAAGTGTGAACCTGGGGCGACATTGTGAAATGAATGACACTAAGGCAAGATGCTTTAAGCCCTCTTTCACGCCCACATAAGGGCTGCTGGAGGGCGCCTCGGCTGTGCAGCAGTGCCAGCCCTGTGAAAGCGCCCTATTTAGCCTGTTAGAGGAGATGTCCAAAATGGCTGAGACATCTCCTTCCTAGGGAAGTTTGGAGAAAACTCTGCTTCTCCAAGCTCTTGTGGTAAGGCCTGACGGCTGTCAGACACACCCGTACACATCCAGGGGTTAGCTGTCTCTATGTGATGCTGTGCTTCGGTGGTCACGTTCCATGTCTACTCCCATGTTCTGCTTCTGCACCTGGTTCCTTTTTTCTTAGAAAAGATAATCAGTAATAGTAATATAAATCTTAATGTTTTAGTTCTTTCTTGATAAGTATGGAAAAAGTGCTGATGCATTATACTCCTTACCTTACTTCAGGTGCCAGAAATTCCTGAGCCCCTACCTGAATGACAGGTGATGTGCTTGACCCCATTACTGCCACGCCCTATCCACCCTGCCCCCAGTCTCCGACCACCAAGACCACACCCTACCTACCCTGTACCCAGATTTGCAACTCAATAAAAGTGAGAGCTTGTCTGCCATTCGGAGCCACTGCTGGTCTCCTCGATTTGGGTAGCAGTGGACCCCTGGGCCCAAACTCTCTCTTCTCTATCTCCATGTCTTGTGCCTTTTATTTCTACAATTTCTCTGCACCAACTGGGAGGGACTCACAGAACCCTGTAGGGCTGGACCCTACAGACAGGGTCTCACTATGTTGCCCAGATTGGTCTCATATCCCCGGGTTCAAGCAATCCTCCTGCTTTGGCCTCCCAAAGTGCTAGGATTACAGGCATGAGCCACTGCACCTGGCCCTGGAATGCATCCTTTCTTTTTTCAGTGGCAGGGGGATGGACTTTTGCTCTGGTCACCAGGGTGGAGTGCAATGGTGTGATCTTGGCTCACTGCAACTTCTGCCTCTGGGGTTCAAGCGATTCTCCTCCCTCAGCCTCCTGAGTAGCTGGGATTACAGGTACCCAGCACCACACCTGGCTAAATTCTGTACTTTTAGTAGAGATGGGGTTTCACCATGTTGGCCAGTCTGGTCTCGAACCCCTGACCTCAGGTATCTGCCTGCTTCGACCTCTCAAAGTGCTGGGATTACAAAGTGCTGAGATTACAGGTGTGAGCCACTGGACCTGGTCCTGGAATGTATTCCTGATACCTTGTGGGGAGAAGTTCTTGTGGCCCACCTTTCTTTAGCTGAATTTTTTTCATTTCTTTTTTTTGAAACAGGGTCTCACTCTGTTGCCCGGGCTGGAGTGCAGTGGCACGATTTTAGCTCACTGCAGTCTTGACCTCCTGGGCTCAAGTGATCCTCCCACCTCAGCCTCCTGAATAGCTGGAACCACAGGAATGTGCCATCATGCCCAGCTAACTTGTATTTTTTGTAGAGACAGGTTTTCACCACGTTGCCCAGGTTGTTCTTGAACTCCTGAGTTCAAGGGATCCACCTCCCAAAGTGCTGAGATTATAGGCATGATCCACTGCACCCAGGCTCCTTAGTTGAATTTACTACTTTTTCCTTGCCTAAGACGAAAGTCATTTCAAGAGAGAATTGAGGTTTTAAGTATCAGTCCTCTCTGGGGTCTTACAAATACACAGTTTCAAGGGTCCCTGAGGAGGCACCCAAGGGCCTGGGCACTTGAGAGGCTGGGAAGGGCCCCAAATCATTCAGGACAGGATGTGTCACAGAAGGGGTGCCAACTTCAATAAGATTCAAAACAGAGACCAAACACACGACTGCTCATGGATGTGTATTTTAATAAAAATAATTCTGTCAAAATACAACAGGTGGTTTTTTTTTCAATCTCAAGTACAATTTTAATAGGATATTTTGTGTTAGAGTTCTCTCTCCACCCTCCCACACCCACAAGTTTCATGCTAATGCCAAGTATCAACTCTCAAGGACAAAGGCAGAACCAGCGTGCACAATGTGGAGGGTGTCTATTTCAGCTGTAGTTACTAATAGAGGAAAACCCGATGCAAAGGGGCAAATGCCTGAGGCAGCCAGAGGCCACAATGTGGTCACAGGTCTGGGTGCACGAGACTGGCGGTATAGTAGGGCTCCACTGCCTGGCTGCCACACGGCGTGCATACCTGAGTTGTGAGCAACCAAAGGAACTTTCAGCTCTGACAGTTCTCTGCCTCACTTCTTTGTGCTTGCTTAAGGAGTGGGAAGGTGCTGGGTGACCAGGCAGTCCCCACTTCTGTCTCGTGGTGTCCCTGTTTTGATGGCCTGCACCCAGCCACAGACCCATGTGAATGGGGATAGGGGTTCTGGCTTGCTATGAGTGCCCTGCTGGTTTTCGTTCTGGAATGAGTGACAATTTGGTGCCACAAGCAGAAAGTGAGCAGGAAAGGCTGCTCCCCAGGGCTGGACAACCAAAGCCAGGTCTTTCTCCTGCCCCCACGGGTCAGGTCCAGCCCTTTACCAGGGCTCTTCCCAGGTACCTTTCCCACTCTAGGCTCCTGGAAGCAGGCTGGTAGGACTGGGTGTGCATAAGGGGCACCTCTGGCTGGCAGGCAGGCCTGGACTATCAGCAAGAGAATGGGCTCAAGCAGCTTGGTTTTGGCCCTCTCCACGGCTTGTGGGGCAAAGGCTTATGTCCCAAAGGTGAGCTGTCCAACTGGGACCGAGAGCCCCTCTGGAGAGGAACAGAGTAAACAACTTGGACTCAGCTGAAACAGTGAGATAAGGCACAGAAAATGGGGAGGTGGCCATGGGTACTGAGTGCGAGCCAGGCAGACACCCAACCCCATGCGGCACACAGCTGTCCTGAGCCCTCCTGGGTCCCCTCTCAGCCACTCCACAACCTAAGCCCAGGCACCCATCCTCATCCCTGACACACCCCTGAAGGTAGCAGCTACTCAGATACTGCAGGAGGGCATGCACATCAGCCTAACCCATCATGGGGCTTATCTGCCATTCAGTTTCAGGACTAAATAAACGGTGTTGCCCAACCCACAGGGATAAGGGATAGTCCTGGCTCTGCTATTAATTTGCTGTGTGACTTTAGCCAAGTCACTTAATCTCTTGGGCCTGTTCCGTTATCTGTAGCAGGAGAGGAACAGGGGAGATGTTCATTGAACCCCATTCCAGCTGCAAAAGCCTGTGGTTTTAATTCCCAATCCTGCTAGACTGTGATGTTTCTAACCTCTGGGTTTGGGAGCTAGGTAGCCCCAGGCTGGCACAGGAGATCAATTTCCTTTACAGACAGGACAACGCCTCCCAACAGACCATGGTTTATGGGCTGCCACCCCCAACGACCAAGGAAAAGCAGCAGCTATAGGATCATCTCCCAAGGCAGAATTCTGAGAGCACAGGGCCAGCAGTTGGTCCAATTCAATCATTTTTCTTGTTGCCCAACTGTGGGCCCAGGGAGGCCTGGTGAGCAATGAATATCTCAGGCCACACCAACCATTCCCATGTCCACCAATATGGAGCAGGAGCTTGCACAGCCCAGATTCAGGCAGAGACTGAAAGTTCAACTTCTGGCCTTGCCATGGCTGACCCTACTCTTTGCATGGGTGGCTTGTGCACTTCCCCCCACTGTGAAGCACATATGGAAACTCCAGCCCATCCTGGTGCTCCTCTGCGTAGGCTTCCTCCCTCTCCTCCAGAGCAGCCAGTCCTCTCCACAGATGGGCCACCCAAGTCCTGGCAGCCATCTTAGCCCTTCCTTTCCTGATTCCCCAATGGTAGCGAGACCATTTTTACTCCACCAGCTTTGAGGATCTATTTGAAACAGCTGGCGGGACATCTGTAAAGCTGATGGAGTCCCATCTCTGGCCAGCAAATACTCCCAACAGTCTTTCCTAAGAGTGGCTGGGGTCCAGCTGCAGGGAGCTGTCTGGCACAGTGGCAGTGAAGTCTGGCCTAGGGGACCAAGGATCCTATTCACTCCCTGGAGTAGCAGCCCAAGAACCTGCCTTCACAAGGTACTGGTTTCTCAACAAAAAGCATTCATTCTTTCAGAGCTGTGCAGAGATGGTGAAGATCTAGGCAGGAAGAAAGCAGCCCTGGTACTCAAGGGTCTCTGTCCTGGGAATGGAGTCTTCTTTCCGGCAGCCTGACACACAGAAGCTTTCACGTTGAAGGCAGGTAGTTTCCAGGCAATCAATTTAGTAAATGTATTATTTGGCCATCTTAATGACAAGGGAAGGTAGAGTATTGAAAAGGGTGGAAAGGGGAGCAAGGCAGACGGTGGGAAGTGGGGTAGAGTGGTAGACAGAGTGCTGGCCAAGGACCCTCTAGCTCTGCTGTGTGGCCCTGGGCCAAGTTATCACTTCTGTGGACCCTTGGCCCTATAGTTCTCCGCTCTGTCCAGGTCTCAGGGGCCTAGGGACCCACAGCTCTTGGGGTGCTATAAACCAACCTACCATGCCCACTAAGTGGCCCGCCAAACCTTATTTGGGTTCCCTAGGCTGTAGCTTGGCCTGTAGCTCAAAAAATGGGGAGCAAAAAAGTAAATCACTTGGCTGTGGTGACAGAGATGATTCTTTTTTAATGAGTTGGACTCAAAACACGGTGCCTGGACAGCCTCACCCAAGAGGTGCTGGACCACTAATGCTACGATAAATACTGTCTTTTTAATATATATATTCATATATATATATATATATAATCTCATTTGTTTTTTACTTATGAAAATAATAAGCTATCACCAACTTGGATAGGCTTCATCACTAAATTAGCAGAAACCAGCTCAGCACAAACTCTCCAGAGATAAATACTGGTGGCTCAGTCAGGAGAAAAAAAATTTAAAAACCCCAACCCCTCCTCAAAACAAAACCCCTCTTTCAAAATAGAAGGCGCTACATGAAAGTAACCAGCCAATACTGTGTCACAGGCCGCTGCATGTGAAGGGGAGAGAGAGACTGAGGGGGGTCGTGGGCAGAGGAAGGAAGGGAAGGGAGGGAAGGAAGGGGCGGGAAGAAGAGAGAGAGAGAGAGAGAGAGAGAGGGAGGGAGGGAGGAAGGAAGGAAAGAAGGAAGGAGGGAGGAAGGAAAGGGAGCGGGGAAAGGCCAGGCAGGAGGAGTGGACTCTACCCATGGCTTCCGAGTCCCTGCACCAGGTGCCTATGGAGGGCAGGGCAGCTCCAGCCAGAGGAGGACCAGCCAGAGCCAGCCAGCATGGTCAGCTAGTGCAAGTAGTCGTCAACTCTGGCAAAGGAGCAAGATCCTAGGCCTGCTCGGGCCATGAGTCGGAGACACTCAGATGCCTGGCCCAGGGCGAGCATCAGAGGGGGCTGCTTTGGCAGGTTTTGGGACTCTGTGGAGGAAAGACAAGGCCTGGTCACCACCCTGTCCAGGTCAAAGTTCCCTTGGGGGTGGAAAGAGGGGCAGTGGACAGATTCTCTTGAAACAGAGTGCTCAGTACCTCTGTGTAAGTGTGTCCCAGCCACCAGGCTATGGCCCTGAAGTCATGCCAGGAATTTGAGGACCTTAGCTCTACGCTGGCCTGGGTCCAGTCATGGCCTAGGACCCATCATGAACTCAGTTGCGCAGAAGGAGGTCAGGGTTTAGATTCAACCATGGAGCCCACAAGTCCTATGAGTCACCAGAGAGGGCCTGTGCAGAGCTTGCTGCCCCAATATGGAAAACATCAGCTCTTTCTGAGGCCAATTGGGGCAGGGCCAGCTTCTGCTTTTGGTAGATCCACTCACCTAGGCCAGGCGTGGTGGCTCATACCTGTAATCCCAATACTTTAGGAGGCTGAAGCGGGTAGATTACCTGAGGCCAGGAGTTTGAGACCAACCTGGCCAACATGGCAAAACCTCATCTCTACTGAAAATACAACAATTAGCCAGGCACACATCTTAGTCCCAGCTACTTGGGAGGCTGAGACACGAGAATCGCTTAAACCCGGAAGGCGGAGGTGGAGATTGTGGTGAGCCAAGATTGTGCCACTGTACTCCAGCCTGGGCTACAGAGCAGACTCTGTCTTTAATAATAATAAAATAAATAGATTCACTCACCTAAAATGGCACTGTTGAGGGCAGCACACACAGGTTCCCTCTGGATGGGGTCAAGCTGCTGGCCAACTGGGCAGCTCCAGGGGTCTGAGTATGCCAGCAGGCTGAAGGCATCCTAAGGGACAGGGAATTCTTGAAAGGACTGTGGCACACACTATAGCCTGCCCTGCTCCCCATGGCTCCAAAGGGAGACAGGGTCCTGCATGGTGCCCAGACTGAAATGTAGGGTGTAGGGTTGGGCAGGCTGTACTTTCCCCAGAACCTGAGTGTGGAGGGCGCATGTCCAGTGGGCCCGGATGCCCCACTTCCCTCTGCAGACCTGACTGGAGCCCACTCTTTCCTGCTGCCCCCCTGACTCTCCCAGAGCCACCCTGCCCTACTACCAAATGGGGGGGCCTGCTCTGCCTGAGGCCCAGTTCATCCTTTACCTGCAGCATCTCTGTGTGGGCCAAATTCTTGCCATACTCCCGGCCCAACTGCTCACTCAATGCCTGCAACTCGCGGCCAAACAGAATGATCCTTTCTGTGGCAGCCTGGTTGCCCCCGCAGAGCTGCCGCCGAGGATGCCCGTCATCTGCATCCAGAACCCAGTGGAGAACATGTTAGGAGGGGTGAGAAGGGAAGGGCAGGACTGGGGTGGGGCAGGAAGGACCCCGGGTGGGCTGCAGCTTCTGCCAGAGGCAGGCAGGGCTGGGAGGAACAGGTGGGGCAGCTACAGTCAAGGTGTTCTTCTCTTAGTCCACTTGGCACAGTCTATGGGTCAGGGATGACTTTGAAGCGTCCCTCTTCCTCAAACATTGGTACACTGTTGTGGTCTTGGCACAGGCCATGGCCTTCTTACATTTGGAGCCACCTCAAGGACCCATCCACAATTGACTAAGGAGGCAGTGGACCAGGTCTGGCTGGAGCTTCTCAAGATGTCAAAGCCTGCCTACCCCAGCACCCTCTCAGGGGAAGAGGGCACCCAGACTGCACACTGCCGTCTCAGAGAATATCACACCAGGCTTGGCACCCAGACTGCACACTGCACTCTCAGAGAATATCATACCAAGCTCGGCACCCAGACTGCACATTGCCCTCAGAGATATCACACCAGACCATGGCTCTCACCCATGCTGGACTCATCTGTCTGCAGGTCCTCATGCTTGTAGGCACCATTAACAATGCGCGTGGACATGCTTCCGAGCACACCGTTGGGGTAGTGCTCTGCCTCCATCTCCATCTCACTGTCGCTGTGGGGAAGGGTTGAGGTGGTAGTTGGCCCAGGGGGTGTGGTTGGAGCAGCCTGGTTGGGCCTCCTTTCAAGCTCTAGCCATGAGTTGCTGTGGGTAAACCAAGGACCCCCCAGGAGCATGAAAGGACAGCTGAAGCTTCCAAGTCTTCAGCACTTGGTCCCTACTGTGACACCAGCTGTCCTCAAAGGCCTGTCACCTGATTCCCATCCTTGTCCCAGTGCTGCCTCTGTGATTCTCCCCTCCCTGGTCCTCCTCTGAGTTCACATACCTCTTCTACATATCCCCCATCCTAATGACTGGGCCCCATGGCCCCCATGGGCATCTCTGTGACCTTGGTTAGGAGCCAAACCCAGGTTAGTCTTGAGGCATACCTGGGGATGCTGAGAGCCACTCTAGCCTGCAGCTTAGCTTCCCCTGCTTGTCCAACCTGGCTGTCTACAGAGCCAGACCAGGGAAAGCTCCTTCATGATGGACCCTGAGGGTTCTCACAGGCCCTGCCTCTTTGGAGGAGACCACATCCATCCTCAGCCTGGCATCACTGGAGCCTCTGGAGAAACCCAAGGCCAAGGAAAGTGCAGCTAAATCATGGGGAGGGCCAGAAGCCAGAGCTGATGTCTGGCCTGGTGGGCCAAAAGTTAGAACTCCAGGCACAGACCTGAGATGGAGGCCGAGGGTGAAGGGCAGAGCACTCAAAGGACAGACTACAGTGGGCCCAGGTGGCATAGGGCAGAAGGCAGAGGAGGAAGCAGAGCAAGGCAGGCACCTGGTCTCCTGGTTACTGGTACTGCTGTGGGGCTGGGACTTGGTGGAGTCTGTTGAGTTGGATTCGGAGTAATTGACGGAGGATGGGGAGGAGGAGGACGAGGAGGAAGAGGACGAGGATGAGGAGCTGGGTGCAGGATATTTACTGTGGTTCTGTTTGCTCTTGGTGGATGTGATGCCATTGCTACAGCTGGGACTGTCTGCTCCTGGAAGCCAGGGGGACAGTCAGAAGAGGAGGGGCAGCTTGCCATCAAGCGGAGCCCCAAGAATAACCACAGTGGTCCCATTTCCCTTCTCCCAAATCCAGCAGTGAGGCCTGAGCACAGCCCAGGAAAGGGTACGTGGCATGGCCTCTCTCCACACCAGTTCTTCCCAGAGCCCTCTGGAGAGTAGCTGACCTGTGTTGTGCATGTGGAAACTACTGGGGCCATGTCGGGGGCTGAGGCTGGGGGAGCCAGGGTAGCTGTCCTGGGACTTGGGGCTTCGGGAGCTCAAGCTGCGAACCTCACTGTCCGTCCCATTCACCATCTCCACAAACTGCCGGCACCTGTGGAGGGAGCAGAGCAACAGTGCTCTGGTTGTGGTCCAGGCTGATGTTCCCACCACTAGTTGAGGCGGGCTGAACTCTAGGGGAGTTGGGGGTGCCCAAGACTTACTTGAGCATGAAGAAGAGGTTGGGGTTGTGCTCCAGCAGCCCTGGGTAGAAGCGCTGGGTGGTCTCGATGGCCTCGCCCACACGACCCTCTAGCACCAGCTTCTGGATTTCTGCAGGGAGCAAAAACACAGCAGTGAGTGAGGGCTCCAGGCCTCCCCCATAGCCACACACCTGGGATGCTGCTAGCCTCGGAGCAGGGGCAGGCCATGATTAGATAAGCTGGTTCGGAGTGCCTTGCCAGCCTGAGATGCTCAGAGGAGAGGAGGCTGGAGAAAGAACCTGGCTGCCCGGCCCAACAGATCCTAGTTTCTGGCAAGCATCAGACAGTCCTCAAGAATACAGGGAAGATGGAGGGGAGACTCTCAGCCCAAAGACAGGAGGGTGAATGCGGAGGCTTGTTCCTTTGGGGCACAGGGTACCACCAGGGACCTGGGGGCAAGGTGGGGTCCCAGCTGGGGCTGCATGATCTGAGGATGGGCACCCAGGCAGCTTGGTGGCCTGAGGGGCTCCTCTTCAGACAGGCTCCTCTCTTTCCAAACCTCACAGGTGAATGGCAATGGAATCACACTGGTTTCTGATCAGGACTGTGCCTGGTGGTCTTCAGGGGCTGCAGCATGCCCCCTGCTGGGAGAGGAGGCCATCCTCCTCATGTTGGCACCTTTGACGTTGACACCTCTCAGGCCATCAGCATCTTGCTGCTGCCTTTTCGCTCTTGCCGTGGGGCCTGGTACATCTTGCTGAGAGCAACTTTAGGGTCTGAGGCTTTCATTCATAGATACCAAGTCTGGGATCCCTTTCTGTCTGTCTGTCTGTCTGAGCATAGCTTCTCTGGGAGACAGACACATGCACATACACGAGACAACAGGCTCGGAGAGGCGCAGATAGGCACTCACAGAGACGTATAACCACACTCACTGGCCCTTGCTCTCCTTTTCTCCTCCTATCTCTTCAGCTGGGCTCTCTTTCCTCTTTTCCAATACCTTTCCTTCCATGAAAGAGCCTCCAGACACACAGCATCCAGGCCAGCATCAACAATGGGAGAGCTCTGGCTAGGGGAGGACTCTAGGTTGTCTGCAAAGGATAGGACCAGAAGTGAGGAGCAGAGAGAAGTGCTCCCACAGCAGCCACTGAGTACTGGCTTCACCCTATCTGACCATTTCCATCCCCTCTCTGGCTAGGAATAAGCAGAACTACTAAGGCTGGGTAAATGGTGAGAAAAGCAGAGTGTTTGTCTGGTAAGAGGCAAACAGTCTTTCTGGAAGACCATGAACAGGAGGCTAAGAGGAATCCAGGATTCAGAGGGAAGGAAATAAGCAGAGAGGAAATGGAGGAATGGAACCAGCCATGCCAGGGCCTAGCCTGCGCCCAGCCTTCAGAATGTGCATTAGGGAGGCTGCCCTGAGACATCTCCATCCCGCCAACTGTCCATCTGAGCAGTGCTATCTTGAAGGTGGGACAGAAACATGGCCTGGGGCTGCAGACTGGCAGTGAGGACCAGAGATGAATGGACTCCTGACAGGTTAACCAGGGTTGGCATGAGCCAGAGAGTAGTGTTAGGGACAGGTGAGGAAGGGAAAGGGGAAAGTAGAATAAACCTTACTTTGTCTGTTCTTTATGGATGCCTGTTCTTCCTGAATCGGGGTTTCAGTCATTCGAGCAAAAGCCGTGGCCGTGGCACAATACCCATGATGCACGAGGTAAGATGAGACCATGCTAGAAGAAAGGAAGAACTCCAGGTGACACTCAAGAACTGCACTTCTCACTGACCACCCAATGGACAGACTACCTCCCCCAGAGGTCTCCCTAAACACGTCCTGGAGGTGTAACCTCCACAGAATAAGAATAAAAGGGCTGAAATAATATGAAAACTTCCCCCATAGTGCCCCGTGTTCATCAAGTCAGGCTGCGGAGGGGCTGGTCACGTCTGTGCCCACAGTTCAGAGGAGTGGCTTCAGTTTCTCTGACACATGCTGCCCAAAGGTAAGCAAATACGATAACAGAAATACACACACGGGCACACTCCCATCTCCTCACAGGTGGCTGCCTCCTTGGGAAGTGCAGCAAGCCTATGAGGCCAATGGTCTCACTGACAGCTTCCAGAAACTGCAGCTAGCCAGGTAATCTGGCAGCTTCCCAGACAGGATGCATGTGGCATACACACCTTTTACAGACAGGAGCCCCTCTGTAGGCTGCCCCATGCACTGGTGGAAACGTTTCAGCCCCCCAGGTGAACCTGCCCTCAGCAGTTCTAGCTCTACTGAGTGAGTGATGGGAAGCTAACTCACAACCCAGAGTTACACCATGATACGCCACAAATCAGAGGCCCAAAAGCCAAGTGATCAGGGTGATTTTGCCAGGCAGAGACAGGCAGCAGCAGGGCCAATAGGAACACATGTCATTGGAAAATGGTCCGGAGAAATCTGACTCCCAGTAGCCATTTAACCCCAGCAGAAGCTGGCTGAACAGTGGTACATGTGTGTACATCTATACTTATGTGTAGAGCAGAGGCTGAACCCTCAAATCTGATGTGTACAAGAGTGAATACCTTGGTGTGTCCATGTCTGATGTCATTACTATTAACTATAAACACAAATGTCTGAAGGGCTGTCAGGTAGAAGGCAAGAACTTTGGGTGTGTGGTCCCTCAGGCTTTAAGGGGCAAATGAGATAACATACATAAAGTGCTTGGCAGGAAGAAGTCCATAAATAAAACTTATTATGAAACAATATATTATATAATATTGTAAGTAATAATTATCAGCTGGGCATGACGGCTCATGCCTGTCATCCCAGAACTTTGGGAGGATAAGGCAGGAGGATCACTTGAGGCCAGGAGTTCAAGACCACCCTGGCCAACATTGTAAGATCTCATCTCTACTTTAAAAATAATTATTGCCTGGGTGTGGTGGCTCACGTCTGTAATCTCAATACTTTGGGAGGCTGAGGCAGGCAAATCACTTGAGCCCAGGAGTCTGAGACCAGCCTGGGCTACGTGTCGAAACCCTGTCCCTACAAAAAATACAAAAAAATAGCCAGGCATGGTGATGCATGCCTACAGCCCCAGTTACTCAGGAGACTGAGGTAGGAGGACTGCTTGAGCCCAGGAGGCTGATGCAGTGATCCATGACTGTCACTGCACTCCAGCCTGGGCAATAGAGTGAAATCCTGACTCAGGAAAAAAAATAAAATAAATATAATTATTATTACACCATATTATTATTATAAACACAAAGGTAAATATAAAATATTATTTATCTATAAGTGGGTTACCTACACAAGTAAAAGAGAGGAAATTACCTGACCTTCCACTAAAGGAAGCCAGCCGAAAGGCTTGTGACAAATTTTTCTCTGAGATAACATAGCCATTATCAATATTCACTAAATGAAGTTATGTAAAACCATAGTACACAAATTATATCCAGGTCTTGGCAAATGCTACATATAAACACATACAAGCACATGGATACACACATGTAAACAAAAACACTCATGTGCTATGCCACACATGGTAGCACATGCCTGTGATGCCAGCTACTCAGGAAGCTGAGGTGGGAGGATCACTTGAGCCCAGGAGTCCAACCTGGGCAACGTAGTGCGACCCCAATCTCAATATTTTTTTAAAAACCCAAAAACAAAAACACATCCATATGCTGAGCCTAGGCCCTGAAAACTGAGAGCATCAGTTCCTCCCCTACACAGCCTTGGCAGCTTCACTCCTCTCCTTGCCCATCCCAGCAAGCCTGCTATGGGAGTGGCACAGTCCTGGCCATCCAAGGAAGTCCTTGTCATCTGTTCTGGAGGGCTGGGAACAAAAGGCAGCAATGCTGTTCTTCCTGGGGAAGGTCTGGTCACCTAGCCCCTGCCTCAGCCCACCCTTGGGGCCTGCCTCAAGAGACAAAGGCTGCAGAAAGAACCCAGTGTGCCCCCCAACCCCACCCAAGGGGACCCTAGCACCCTGGTGCCTTTGCAGGGCAATGACCAGAGGTAGCAGAAGCCCAGCCCTTCCCCATGCCCATCTGCCCATCCTTGGGAGCCAAGCTAACACCCACCTCCTAGCAGAGTGGGTACTGGTCACTGCCTCACTCAGGCTTGCAGATGACAAGTAGAAGAGAGACCCAAAGCTGGCCTCCCTTGGGAGTTTCAGCAACACTGGCTTGCAGGACAGTCTGGGAATTTATCAGCCAAGGAGCTAGCTCAGCTGGTCCTAGGAGGACTCCCTTCCCTCCACCACTGCTATAGACGAATGAGACTCAGTTGGATGCTGGGCCCTGTGAGGTGGCCTCAGGCCAGAGTCACGGCATGATGGATACTCCCTATGGTAGAAAAGGGTCCACAGAGGAAGAGACCACAGGGCATCCTCTGCAAAATCCTCTGCAAAATGACCTGGGGAAGGAAAACAGCCCTGCTGGTGATCTTATACACAGGAGCCTCCAATCTGGCTGAGGGGCAAAGGTTTAATTAGGAGCAGCCTGGAGAACTCGTCGGAAGCTGTCCATCCAATAAGAGGGAAATGGGAGAGCTGCAAGTTGAATCGCCCTAGGAATACTTCCCAGACAGGATCCACCAACTGGAATTTCTAAGGACTGCTTGTAGCACTACAGGGGCCTAGAGTGGAGAGGGCTGGGGTGGGGTGGGAGTAGGTAAGGGCGGGAGCAGGGCACTCACTTCTGCAGCACTGCCTGCCACTCGCCAAGCCGGGCACTGATGGGGAAGCAGTGGACTGTGCCCTGGACCTTGGCACGCCACTCCCGCATGTAGTCCTCAATGTCAAACAGGAAGGGCTGCTGCCCAAAGTTGGCGTCCACAATCTCCCCAGGTGTCTGCAGGCCTACGGTGGGGTAGAGGTTGGCCTGAGGAGGAGAATGAAATGTCAGTCAGGCCCTGAGGGCAGCGGGGTGGCAAGGCCTCGCCTCACCTCACCTCACCTCCATGGCTGCTGCTGGCCCATGCTCGGGCTGGGAGAGTTGCAGCAAGGCTGGAGGAGGCAGGGCAGAGCCACCTTCCTGCCTACCTCCCTAGCAGACACACTATACCACAAAGCTTGAGGGGAGAAAGCAAAAGAAAAGCAAGCAAGGCACAACATGGAAAGTGTCCCGCCCTGCATCAGAGGCCATTGTGTCCTCAAGGCCCAAGAACCCCTTCTGGAACGCAGCCAAGGCATACAGAGATGGGCTGGGTGTCACAACCCTGCAGACGTGCCCATGAAGGTCTGCTGCAATGGTGGATCATGGCTCCTCTTGGAAAGATCCAGGGCCGAGGATATCTCTGCCACAAAAAATAGACACATGAGGCTGGGCACGGTGGCTCATGCCTGTAATCCCAGAATATTGGGAAGCCAAGTTAGGAGGACTGCTTGAGTCCAGGATTTCGAGACCAGCCTGGGCAACAAAGTGAGACCCTGTCTCTACAAAAAATAAAAAAATTAAAATAGCAAGGTGTGGTGGTGTACACTTCTGGTCCCAGCTACTCAGGAGGCTGAGGTGGGAAGATTGCTTGATCCCAGGAAATTGAGGCTGCAGTGAGTGAGCTGTGATTATGCTACTGCAACCCAGCCTGGGTGACAGTCCTTGTCTAAAAAAAAAAAAAAAAAAAGAGGGGGTGGGCAGAGATGGAATGACGCAGGAAGGAAGGGAGGAGGGGAGCATGGCAAAAGGGAACTGGTGGTCTAGACCCCTGGCACTGGCAAAGGGTGAAGAGAAGCTGCCTTTCCTGTTAGAGGCTTGCTAAGAGGAGGATCTGGCCAGTAGGGTGTGGGGCTCCCTGCTTTCCACCTAGCCCCTGCCATGACTGGCTTTTGCCCGGTCCCTCCCTCACTTTGTGGTTCCTGTGGCTCCTGGCTGCTACTGTCCAGAGCCTCGCCAACCTCCTCCCCACTGTCACTGCAGATGGCCTTCCCTGAGCCTCCCAGTCCACTCTACCTCCATGCTCAAGCCATGTTCCTTCTTGAGTACCATGCACTTTTTTTTTTTTTTTGAGATGGAATCTTGCTCTTGTTGTCCAGGTTGGAGTGCAATGGTGCAATCTCCACTTACTGTAACCTCCACCTCCTGGGTTCAAGCAATTCTCCTGCCTCAGCCTCCCAAGTTAGCTGGGATTAAAGGCATGCACCACCATGCCCGGCTAATTTTGTATTTTTAGTAGAGATGCGGTTTCTCCATGTTGGTCAGGCTGGTCTCAAACTCCCAACCTCAGATGATCCGCCTGCCTTGGCCTCCCAAAGTGCTGGGATTACAGGAGTGAACCACCACCTCCGGCCAACCATGCACTTTTGTACCTGCACAAGGTGTAGGAGCTTTTCCTGTATGCTGGCTTCAGCCTACCACCGGCTTTGCACTGGACCTCTCAGTTCCTTTCTTCCCCCTTCCATCCTCCACACCACAGGCAAAGCCCGCCTCGTCCAGCAAACTTGCCTTGACTGTCACTGCCCGCAATGTCATCCCCCATACTTTCTTGCACGTGGCTGCATACAGGCCATGCTCACAACTGGCCATTTCATGTCACGTCCCCATAACTAGACTTTTCCCTAGCCAGGGACAGCATTCTCCTCCTGAATCTGTTCTCTCTGCCTAGAATCACAGCCCCTCTAGGGCTTCCAGGTAGGAGGGAAGGATTCTGAACCATGGACAGGAGGTTCTAAAAGGACCTGGCTTCTCTGGTCTGGGCTTCAGAGGCCCATAAGATCACAAAGGCATTTCCTGGGGCATCACTGGGGTATTGAAGATTCCAAAGCAGCCACCAGATCAGCAAACCTTCCCTCCTTCCAGAACCCAAACAGAATACACAGAGCTAGGCCAGGCTCCCAGTATCCTGGGTGGAGGCCCTGCATGTGATTAAGCCTGTGATGACTCAAAATAAAGAGGGACTGGGATATAGGTGCAGGATGGTTGGAGGTAAGGATGCACCCCGAACTAAGTAAGTAGAAAACCCCATCCTTTTCTAAGAAGAGAAGACCCCATAAAGTTCACCTCTCTGGCTTGGGGGTACCCTAGTGAGTAGCAGATGAGTTCCCCGAAGGCATTGGCTTTCCTCAGGGATCTCTAATGAATATGTACAGGGACTGGAACAATTCCGTACATTCTGCACCCCAGTTGACACAGAACTGGCTTAGACCAGCTGAGCCATGGAGCTATCTTCATTCCACCACCCTACCCCCACAGCCCCACAGCTGCCTTTGGAAGTGCCACAAATTACTGTCAACTGCTAAGAGTCGTAGGAAGACCAGAACTTGCTGTTGGAAAGAGAGGAAGGCCAGCAAGTGCCCTTCCTGGTACCCTCAAGCTGACAGCAAGACACACATCCCTGACTGGGAAAAAGACCAGACTCTATACCCTGCACTTGCAGGTACCACTGTGCCCCATCCCAGTCAGCCCCCAGGAGCCCAGGAGGGGAAGACCCAATAGCAGTACTCACCGGGAGGTCTGTGAAGGCTATACCTGTGGGGGGAAAGGAACAATCATCAGGGCCAGGCCCTGGGCTACTCTGCTTCTGCACCCCATGATGGAGCCAGTGCTAGAGCCGGATAGTTGTTGTTGTTTCTTTTTTTGTTTGTTTGTTTTTGAGACAGAGTCTCCCTCTGTTGCCCAGGCTGGAGTGCAGTGGTGCGATCTTGGCTCACTACAACCTCTGCCTCCCAGTTCAAGTGATTCTCCTGGCTCAGCCTCCTGAGTAGCTGAGATTACAGGTGGCCACCACCACACCTGGCTCATTTTCGTATTTTTAGTAGAGACAGGGTTTCACCATGTTGGCCAGGCTGGTCTTGAACCCGTGACCTCAAGTGATTCACCCACCTCAGCCTCCCAAAGTGCTAGGATTATAGGCGTGAGCAACTGTGCCCAATCGGGCAGTTTTAATTAGACCATGGCCTTCTCTTTGTGGGCGGCCTGACCAGAAGTGAAATCAGATGCTTAGGTAGATCCATAGCTCTTCCACCCTCAAGGAAAGCCTGCTAAGAACTACATTCAAAAGATCTATCCCTGCAGCCCCTTCAGGCCTGATCCTTCTCTTGATTTGACACATACTTATGGAAACTCATTGTGCATGCCAGATCCTTTTCCATTCTTTTTTTTTTTTTTTTTTTGAGACGATCTCACTCTGTTGCCCAGGCTGGAGTGCAGTAGCACAGTCTTGGCTCACTTTAACCTCTGCCTCCCAAATTCAAGCAGTTCTCCTGCCTCAGCCTACTGAGCAGCTTGGGACTACAGGCATGTGCCACCAGGCCCGGCTAATATATATTTTTGGTAGAGACAGGGTTTCGCCATGTTGGCCAGGCTGGTCTTGAACTACTGACCTCAAGTGATCCACCTGCCTCGGCCTCCCAAAGTGCTGGGATTACAGGCCTGAGCCACCAGGCATGGCCCATTTTTTATCTATTACTTCATCTGATCCTCACACCAACTCTGGGGACCAGGCTTTATTATCCCGTTTTACAAAGGAGAAAAATAAGCCTCAGAGGTTCAACAATTTGCCAATAATCACAAAGCTAACAAAAGTGGTGGGGCTGGATTCATTCCCAGTCTGATGCTCCAATGTCATCTGGAAGCTGATGGAGAGGCAGAGACAGGGAAGGTGGCAGCTGCCTATCTTCAGACCATATGCAGTCAGAGTCCTCAGACGTTCCAAGTTGGCAAAGCCCAGGTTAACAATGGCATGTGTGGGAGGATCTCTTGAGACCAGGAGTTCAAGACCAGCATGGGCAACATATCAAGGCTCCGTCTCTACAAAACATATAAAATTAGCTATGGTTCCAGCTGCTTGGGAGGCTGAGGTAGAAGGAACACTTGAGGCCTGCAGGTTGAGGCTACGCTGAGCTATGACTGTGTTACTGAGTTCCAGCTTGGGTGATAGAACAAGACCCTGTCCCCAAAACCAAAAAAGCCTGTCAAAAACCCTCCTGCCAAGAGAAGGGGCTGCATTTCTAGGAACCTCAGCTCTGAATTGGAAGTGAGGGTAGAGGGGAGTGGGACCCCAACTACATAAGCAGGCCACCAGAGCACCCATGTTCTTCAGACTGAGAAATGGCTCAGGGCCAGTGGAGGCTGTCCCAAGGACTCAGAGCCCTCTCATTTTTCAGATAAAGTCTTCTATCTCCCAGAAGCTCCTGAGGTTTTGGCCTCAGAGGTTTTCAAACTGCTGATTCCTTAGAGGTCTCCAGTCTGCTACTCTAACCCCTGCCCAGAAAAGAAACTGAAGCCCTGCGGAATAGAACAGGGAAGGGTCTGGCAACAGGTCTTCCAGAAAGCTGGCTGGAATCATGCCAGCCAGCACATACCACATGCTTCCTCTCTTCTAGGCACTGGACTGAGTGTCTTGTAAAGCATAATTCAATCCTCAGAACAACCTTGGAAGATGTATACTGTCTCTGATACTAGTTCACATATGAAAAAACCAAGGTGCAGAAAGACGGTTTACATTCTTTGCTTGGTTATTTTGTTTGCTTCTCACTGAGGGATGCTCATAAGCCACATGGTCTGCCTGTCTGAGGCCACTTCTGGGCCCACATGCACAGCTGGCATGACTCCAGCATGCTGGCAGGACTGAATCCAGAAATCTCTCTGTACCCAGGAGGAGACTCCAGTGTCTACCCAGCAGGTGTGCCCAGGAGCTGCCCTCATGAATCACAGCATGGCCAGGATATTGCCTACTCCAGGGATCATGGAGGAGTCCCCCAAAAGCCTAGAAAAAGGGAGTCCAAGTCCGTAAGTCATATGCAGTGACTTCTGGCAAGTAACCCAACTTCTCTGAGCTCACCTGAAAAAGATAATATAGATCTATTGACTTCAAGGAAAAAGGGAGAAAATGAGACATTCTCTGAAAACTACTTCATGAACTCTGAAGTCTAGGTACAAGTCAGCTGCAGTAGTACCACAGGGTAAGGCAACTGCCACACTTTTGGTCAAGGGATGACCTACCCAGTCTTGCCCAACTGCCTCACCATGGCACCCAGGAAGGACAAAGCCTTGAGGTGCTTCCAGGAGAATGAGGAAAGACGCTCCTCCACCCACTACTCCACTGGACAGGAGCAACACTGCTCCTCCAGCCTGCAATGTCTCTTTGATGGAAAGATCCAAGTTGGCCCATGAAAAGAAGCTTCAGGCAAAGATTCAGGAGGCAAACAGGATAGCCAAACTTGCTGATAAGGAGTACCCTGAGCCAAACAGACATAGGTCAGGGACCGCTGAGGTTGAGAACATAAAGACCTTGGGAGAGCTGTGTGGAAATGACTGTGAGTACATGGACCACTTGCAAATAAGACATCAGTCCCTGTCTCCGTTCACTCATTCCTTCATCCTTCTACCAAGTATTTGTTGTCATAAGACTAGAGAAACAGCTGCAAACCTGGTCCTCAGATTCCAGCAGGAGAGATGGCATATAACTAACAATTCTGCAGACAATTGACAGAATGGCACAAGGGAAAGGGCTGTGGCAGAGGAAAAGAGCAGGGAGACCAGAGGCAGGAGATATCATTCTGCTGCTGTAAAGGAGCAGCATCTGCTGCTGTTCAATTCTAAAGCACATTATTGTAAGATGGCTTGGGAAAAGGAAACAGGGACATTAGAAGATTCACCGTGTAGTCTGTCACTCCAACTTAACTGCCTTTCCATTAAATTTTGTGATCTAGAAAATGCAGGGGACAGGCCATATCCCATTTTCAGTAAGGTCTCAATAATATCCATGTGGAGAAAATGGAAAAATATGTGCTTCAGGAACTAAGTGATTCTTCTTCTTCTCCTTTTTTTTTTTTTGAGATGGAGTTTCACTCGTTACCCAGGCTGGAGTGCAATGGCATGATCTCGGCTAACCACAACCTCTGCCTCCTGGGTTCAGGCAATTCTCCTCCCTCAGCTTCCTGAGTAGCTGGGATTACAGGTACGCGCCACCATGCCCAGCTAATTTTTTTTGTATTTTTAGTAGAGATGGGGTTTCACCATGTTGACCAGGATGGTCTCGATCTCTTGACCTTGTGATCCACCCGCCTCGGCCTCCCAAAGTGCTGGAATTACAGGCTTGAGCCACCACACCCGGCATCTTTTTTTTTTTTTAAATAGAGATAGGGTCTTGCCAGTTGCCCAGGCTAATCTTGAACTCCTAGGGTCAAGCGATCCATCCACCTTGGCCTCCCAAAGTGCGGGGAATATAGGCATGAGCCATTGAGCTCGGCCAACTTAGTGACTCTTAAATGGCTGATGTCTTTCTGGACAAGCTCAACTATATACTGAAGGGCTCAAATCTTAACCTTGTCTCCTTCCTATATTTTTTATCAATATCTTTACGAAAACATAAACAAACACGTTTAACAGATTTTAGATTACTACAACAATGAAAAGACTATCAAATATTTGAGAAAGAACAAGCAAAAACAGAAGGTGTTGATAGGCTGGAGAAAAAAGCAATGTACTACTAGATGAAGTTTAATTACAACATGTGTGAGGTCTTGGATGGGGGTCTATAAAAAGCATCCACTAAGGATATAGGTTTCTAAAAACAGCCTAAGGGTTTGAGCTGACATTAAAGTGGCCATCTGCTCTCTGTGGAATCTTGGGACTTGACTAACAAAGAGCTCATGGCCGTTTGGTGGTCCCAGTGCACATGAAGGACCCAGAGTAGAGATGCAGATGCAGAGGGAACAGCAGAGTATGCTCTCATCTGTGAGCACAATGTGGGCAAGCTGCAGGGATATGACGAAGGCAGCTATACAAAGGGGCAGGTGAAGGGCTTGGATACAGGGTGAGAGCCCACAACAGTGGCCCCTGGGACTCTTGACAGTAGAACCTGAAGCCAAGAAATAGCTGGAGTCAGAGTGCAGAGTGGAGAGTGAAGAGCTGTCTTGAGGCCCTGGCCCACCATCTACCTACTAGCTCCTCACCAGTCAGTCACTAGCAACTACAGCCAGGTAGTCATCAATTTCAGAGAAGGGTTTCTCTGATGTACACCAAGGTCAGCTCGGCAGTGTCTGTGCTACATTCTCGGCTGCCTAGCTATCAAGGCTTTCCTGCTGGCTCTTCGCTAGGGCATCTGGCTGCCCTGACGAGGAATGCTGGCCCCTAGGCATGCACTCCCAGCCATCAGCAACCCAATTCCCACTCAGGTCCCTTGATTCTAGCTGGGCCCACCTCCTGGACAAGTCATAGAGGGGATGTGTAGCGTGTCAGCTACCTTTCTACTGACCCTCAAGCCAAGGGAAATGGGGCTTCTAGGAGTTGGGTTTCAAATAAAATGCCCAACTCCCTTTCCTGGCAGAGCTGGTGGCAGCTGGGCTGATAGAGTTCTGCCAGTCCTCTCCTCATTATATGATTCTGGGAGAACTAGGGTGTGGCTAGATCAGACACCTCTGCAAACCCAGGCAGGCAGACCCAGCAGTCAGTCACCACCTCAGGGCCAATGTGGGCAAATACCAGTTAGCACCCAGTAAGCAAGGCATCAGAATAGCAAAATTCTCTTTCTCTCAAGTCCTAATCCTAAATGTCTACACACGTACAAGAATGTTCCTCCCAGGGATCCCATAGGCCCCCATCCTCTTCCACTGATTGCTATTTCTCCTGAGTTTTTCTCCTGGTTAACAGCACTACAAATCCAGCCATTTTCCCACCTTTCCTTCTTGCAAGTGCACCCCATCTGTCACCAAGCCCTGCGGGGCCACACCTGGGCCTTTTTCCTGCACCCATCCCTGCTGCCTTACCTCAGGCCATCTGCCTCTTCTCCTGGTCTTTACTCTGGTCCATCCTTCATGATTTCACCAGAGGCCTTTTTCAATGTAACTGTTCCAGCTGCTGCCCATTCACCAAGAGTAGGCCAGAGGTCTGTCTCCATCTGACTCCAGCCTGTCTGTTTACCTCCTGGACTAACGCTGCCCTCACTGCTGCTCCACAGCAACCAACACCAAAGTCTGGGCCAGGTCACAGGCACGCAAACCACCACCACGTAATCTATGTGAGAGCTCCCCAAACTTCTCATCCAATGCCAAACCTTGCTCCAACAAGTGCCACCAAGCCAAGATCATGACCAGGATACTGCTGCACTCTGAGTATCCTCCCCAGGTTGGATAAATGCTGCTGACTGGCTGGATGAACAAAGGCATGCCCCTGCTACCCTCTATTCACCTGAAAGGGCTCCAATTCCTGGAAATGGTGCAGTACCCCAGAGCTCAGCAGAGGTGACACTGCCTTGAGCACTTGCCCCTGAGCCTCTCACCAACCAAAGTGGCTCCACAGAGCAGAGCCTCCAAGGTCTCTTATGCACGCACCAAGACTATGGCCATTCTTGGTGTAGAAGCAGGTGCCATTGATGAGGTTGACGCAGCAGCCGATCACATCTCCTGTGGTGAATGTGGGACCATAGGGCTGGCCAGTCCCCGAGGAGCAGAAGGAATGCCCATCATCGCCATGGTAACCATAGGAATGTTTGTCCCAACCTGTTGGGGAAGAGAACAGAAATAACTGAGTAGGTACTTGAGGGAGGAACAAGACATTCACAGAAGCCCACCCAGGTCTCTCAGCCTCTCCTCAGCCTGCTCCACCTCTGTCAGCACTCTCGGCCTCTCACAGAGCCACCAACAGATAGTCTGGCTGTGAGTCCAGCAGGTGACTGCCCAAGCAGAGCAGCCCCACAGAGGAATGATCCCACACTGCAGTTAACAGGAACACACAAGAGGGAGGCACAACAAGGAGGTGGTCAGGGGAAGCCTTGTGAAGGAGAAGGAAGCTGGAAGTGACCTTGGAAGTACATCTGGGTTGTTTAAAATGTATTTTAAATTGAGAATTGGTTTACATAAGATTCTCTCATTCATTCATTCATTCATTCATTTATTTATTTAGAGACAAAGTCACCCAGGCTGGAGTGCAGTGGTGCAATCTTGACTCACTGCAACGTCCACCTCCCAGGTTCAAGTGATTCTCTTGACTCATCCTCTGGAGTAGCTGTGGTTACAGGGACATGCCACCATGCCCAACTAACTTTTCTATTTTTAATAGAAATGGGGTTTCAACATGTTGACCAGGCTGGTCTCAAACTGCTGACCTCAGGTGATCCTCTGGCCTCAGCCTCCCAAAGTGCTGAGATTACAGGCCTGAGCCACCATGCCCAGCTGATTCTTCCTTTTAAACTGTCCAATTCAAATCAGTTTTACTAAATGTATACAGTTGCATTACTACCACCACCACAGGCGAGACACAGAACATTTCCATCACTCTAAAAAAGCTCCCAGCTGAGTATGGTGGCTCATGCTTATAATCGTAACACAGAAGGTCAAGATCAGCCTGAGACAACATAGTGGGACCTCGTCTCTATAAAAAATAAAAAAATTGGCAGGGTGCAGTGGCTTGCACCTGTAATTCCAGCACTTTGGGAAGCTGAGGTGGGTGGATCACCTGAGGTTGGGAGTTTGAGACCAGCCTGACCAACATGGAGAAACCCCATCTCTACTAAGAATACAAAATTAGCTGGGTGTTGTGGCACATGCCTGTAATCCTAGCTACTCAGGAGGCTGAGGAACGAGGGTCGCTTGAACCCAGGAGGCAGAGGCTGCAGTGAGCTTAGACTGTGCCATTGCACTACAGTCTGGGCAACAAGAGCGAAACTCTGTATCAAAAAAAAAATTGCCAGATGTGGTGGCGCCTGCCCGTAGTCCCAGCAACTCAGGAGGCTGAGGTGAGAGGATTACTTAAGCCCAGGAGTGCAAGGCTGCACTCCAGCCTGGGTAACAAAGTGAGACCCTGTCTCCAAAAAAAAAGTTTCCTCAGGTGTCTTGGCAGTCAGTTTATGCCACCCATCTCCAGTCACTGGCAACACTGATCTGATGTGTTCCTACGGTTTTGCCTTTTCCAGAATTTCACATAAATAGAATCATAGAACATGTGGTGTCTTGCCTGGCTTCTTAACACTTAGCACAGTGCATGTGATTTACCCATATTGTTAGGAGTAGCAGTGTTCCGTTCCTTTTTATTGCTGAATAGTACTCCATGTTATGGATACACCCCAGTTTTTCTATCTGTTTATACACCAGCTGATAACATTTGAGTTATAATTTTTAGCTATTATGAATAAAGCCAACAAATGTTTGCTTTGAGGTATTTGCACAGACATATGTTTTAATTTCTCTTGGGTAAATACTTAGAAGTGGTACTGCTGGGTCCTAAGATAAGTGTATGTTTAACCAGATAAGAAACTGTCAAACTGTTTTCCAAAGTGCCTGTGCATTCCACCCAGCAATGTATAAGCTTCATGTCTTCTTCAGTATTTTTATTCAGTTCGGTTTTTTTTTTTGGCCTTTTAGTGTATATATAGTGGTTTTAATATCATTGTGGTTTTAACATACTGAGTATCTTTTCATGTTCTCATTTGCAATCTATTTGTTGGAAAACTATTCAACTATCCTAATTCTTAACTCATTTTTTATTGGGTTGTTTATTGTATTGCACTTGTTACTGTATTACACTGTAAAGGTTCTTGATATATATTAGATACAAATCCTTTTATGTTTTGTGAGTATTTCTTCCAGTCTGCAGCTTGTCTTTTTTTTTTTGAGGGTCTCACTCTCTCACCCGGAGTAGGAGTGCAGTGGCCCAATCTCAGCTAACCCCAATCTCTGCCTCCCAGGCTCAAGGGATTCTCCTGCCTCAGCCTCCCAACTAGCTGGGATTACAGGCCACAACTGCCATTACACCACAATTACGTGGCTAATTTTTGTATTTTTAGTAGAGACAGGGTTTAACCATGTTGGCCAGGTTGGTCTCAAACTCCTGACCTCCAATGATCCACTTGCTTTGACCTCCCAAAGTGTTGTAATTACAGGCATGAGCCACTGTGCCCAGCCTCATTTTTTAAACAATGCCTTTCAAAGGTGGGCTGTGCTTGTGATTGGGACGGTGTTGATTCTCTAGGTCAATCTGGAGAGAATAGATAACTTAATAATATTAATTATTCTGGCCAGGTACAGTGGCTCACACCTATAATCCCAGCACTTTGGGAGGCCATGGCAGGAATACTGCTTGAGCCCAGGATTTGATACCAGCCTGGGTAACATAATGAGACTTCGTCTCTACAAAAATCAAGAAATGAGGTAGAAGGATCACTTGAGCCCAGGAGATGGAGGCTGAAGTAACGCCTGAGTGCACCACTGCACTCCCACCTGGGTGACAGAGCAAGACCCTGCCTCAAAAAAAACTATTATTATTTTAATCTATGAACATGGCATATCTCTCCATTTACTTATAATCTTTAATTTATCTCAATGGTTTTGAAAAAAATTATCTCTTACATGTTTCATTTCTATGCTATTATAAATGATATTTTAAAATTCCGGCTTCCAATTGTTTCTTGCCATTATTATTATCTTTTTTTGAGACAGAGTCTCATTCTGTCACCCAGGCTGGAGTGCAGTGGCATGATCCTGGCTGACTGCAACCTTCACCTCCTGAGTTCAAGCGATTCTCCTGCCTCAGCCTCCGAGTAGCTGGGATTACAGGCATGTACCACCATGCCCAGCTAATTTTTGTATTTTTAGTAGAGACAGGGTTTTGCCATGTTGGCCAGGCTGGTCTTGAACTCCTAACCTCAAGTGATTTGCCCACCTTAGCCTCACAAAGTGCTGGGATTACAGGTGTGGGCCACCACACCTGGTCTGCTTCTTGCTATTAAATTAAAATAGAATTAATTTTGGGCCAGGCATGGTGGCTCATGCCTGTAATCCCACAATTTTGAAAGGCCGAGGAGGGCGGATCACCTGAGGTCAAGACTTTGAGACCAGCTTGGCCAACATGGCAAAACCCTGTCTCTGCTAAAAATACAAAAATTAGTCTGGCCACCTGTAATTCCAACTAGTCAGGAGGCTGAGGCAGGAGAATCACTTGAACCCAGGAGGTGGAGGTTGCTGTGAACCAAGATCGAACCACTGTATTCCAGCCTGGGCGATAGAGTGAGACTCTGTCTCAAAAATTAATTAATTAATTAATTAATTAATTTGGAGGTAGGAAATGGACTCAAGGTTTCCTCCTCTTTTTTTTTTTTTGAGACAGAGTCTCGCTCTGTCGCCCAGGGTGGCACAATCTCGGCTCACTGCAAACTCCACCTCCTGGGTTCAAATGATTCTCCTGCCTCAGCCTCCCAAGTAGCTGGGACTACAGGCGCCCACCACCACACCGGTAATTTTTGTATTTTTAGTAGAGACAGGGTTTCACTCCTGACATCAGGTTATCCGCCCACCTCGACTTCCCAAAGTGCTGGGATTACAGGTGTGAGCCACCATGCCCAGCCAAGATTTATTTATTTTTTAAGTAATTAGAAGGTTCTAAAATTAGATTACAATGATGGTTGCATAATTCTTTAAATATGCAAAAAAACTACTGAATCATACACTTTAAATGGAAGAACTACATGGTATTTTAGCTCAATAAAGCTGTTTAAGATATCTGTACATGTGTTATGTGTGTATGTATATATGTATGTATGCACATACATAGAGTATTTTATTTTTATGTATTTACCTGGTATCCTACAACCTTGTTAAACTCACCAATTCACTCTGGTAGCTTTTTTTTTTTTTGAAGATTCTCTGAGATTTCTTTTTAATACAGATGATTCTACTGTCTGAAAATAGTTTGATTTCTTCCTTTCCAATCTGTATACCTTTTATTTTTCTACCCTGCCTTGCTGCACTGCCTAGGCCCTCCAATACAGTGCTGAACAGAAATCATGAGAACAGAAGTGAGACCTCTGAAGGGCACCAAGCTTCGTTTGTTTGTTTATTTGAGAAAGGGTCTTATTTATTTATTTACTTACTTACTTGTGACAGGATCTTGCTCTGGCACCCAGGCTGGAGTGCAGTTGCACGATCTTGGCTCACTGTAACCTCTGCTTCCTAGGCTCAAGCAATCCTCCCACCTCAGCCTCCCAAGTAGCTGGAACTACAGGCATATGTCACCACACCCAACCACCAAGGTTTTTTTTTTTTTTTTTTTTTTGAGACAGAGTTTCGCTCTTGTTGCTCCGACTGGAGTGCAATGGCATGATCATGGCTCACAGAAACCTCCGCCTCCTGAGTTCAAGAAATTCTCCTGCCTCAGCCTCCTGAGTAGCTGGGATTACAGGTATAAGCCATCATGCTAGGCTAATTTTTTGTATTTTTAGTAGAGACAGGGTTTCACCATGTTGGTCAGGCTGGTCTCGAACTCCTAGGGTGATCCACCTGCCTTGGCCTCCAAAAATTCTGGGATTACAGGTTTGCGCCACCATGCCTGGCCCCACCAAGATTTTTAAAAAATTTATTACTAATGGCTGGGTGCAGTGGCTCATGCCTGTAATCCCAGCACTTCGGGAGGCTGCGGTGGGTGGATCACAAGGTCAGGAACCCCATCTCTACTGAAAATATAAAAAAAAAAAAAAATTAGCCGGGCGTGGTGGTGGACACCTGTAATC